AAAATTTGACTGAAAAACTTCCAATATTCTGGCCGATGTCTAATAACCAGCCCTTATCTTAGCCCTAATATAATGAAATGCCTGCTTACTGTTTGAGCCTCGCACGGCATATGCAATCCTAATATGAGTACAGTATTTTCCCATCTGCTCAGCTACTTTACCAATCTGCATAGCTAGTTCATAAGTAGGAGACAGACAAAGGACCTGAAACAATTAGACAATGATGTGCAATCATTMCCAAGAAAATTAAACAAGAAAAAACTTTAAAAAAATAATTTTAAAAAATCTTATCCAACAATCACTCCCTGTAAGGGTTTTTTTTCATTAGGTTCGCTCCACAAGCACTACCATTACATTCTATATTTATGACTCACGACACCCAAATCACATGTTGATTTTTRTTGAGGAAGGAAAACCAGAAATCTCATGGCAACATATGAAACAAACTCAAATTYATGTAAGAGAGATGATGAGGCCCAATACAGGTCAAAAGAGCTGTCCACAGTTTCTAGTTGAGCTGGCTCATTTTTTACGGGACTTGAAGTTGTTAAAGGCCTACTGGCCCTCTTCTTCAGTCGTTTCATACAAGGCTCGTAATTTACCTATTACGCATGTTCTTATCAAATTTATGTAGTACAGTCTAACAAGAATTGAACCAGAAACCCCAGGCTTGAACTAAAGTACATGTATACAGAGGTGAAAGACAGCACAAGCCACCAATAAAAAAACACACGGCTTGCAAAATATCTTGAAACCAAGAGATCTCTTTACCTGTGGATACTGTTTGGTGGCATCAACTCTACTTAACATGGTCAGGACAAATGCAGCAGTTTTGCCTGTCCCTGACTGTGATTGAGCTATCATGTTATTAGGCCTGAGGAAGCAAACATATTACAAGTTGCTCTAAGAGTGTGCARTAAAATTGAAAGAATGTTTTAAAATGAAAAAAAAAGATGGGAGAATTAACATGGTCTATAAGAGCAAACACTTAAAGTGGAAAGTGCAAAAGTATGGCCATGTTTAATGTATTTGCATACTTCTCATCTATGCATAGGCTTTTTTTACATTAAACTGACACATTTCYGTGTGAAGCTGGCTAGTTTTACCAATTAAGGCATGTGCATAGAAGTATGCGAATACATAAAATGTGGTCATACTTTTGATCTTTGCATTGTAAGTTGTGTCTAATACACAAGGGTGGATGCAATTAAACAGTGAAATAAAATCAAACTAAGTACTAATTAATAGTATCTATTTAGCGACTAATAGCTGCTATCGCTCAACCAGAACATTCATCATACAAAGACAAACACACAAGAGACCATTTGTGTCTTTTGTTTAATAAATGTTCTGGTTGACTAATAGTGACTATTAGTCACTAAATAGATACTATTAGTTAGTATTTAGTTTGATTTTATTTCACGGTTTAATTGCAACCGCTCTATTACGCATACATAATTATGACAGTCTCTTCCTAATACAAACACAAACTTAAATTGTATGAATGGTGGAATGCTACAGACTCCTTTTGTCACAAGAAGATGTAGCATCAACACCCTTCATTTTCTTTCCCTGCAGGTATAACAGAGAAGCTCCATTTGTAAGACAACTCTGCAAAGTTATTTACAGGTTCTATTGTTCATRGTGTATTATTACAATGTTGGAGCATTTTGTAATTATTTATTGTGCTATTTTGTTGCAACCCAAACAAAATTAGAGGTAAACCCATTTTCTCATATCATTCTCTTCTATCCCTTTTACAGTGGGCAGAGTTAATAAACTTTTGATCATCAGAATTCAAAAATCAAGACATCTGGGAGTTAGTAACATTGCATGAAMATTAAAAAGTGTTATGGATCTACTTACGGATCTGCTAGTAGCATAGGTAGGGCAGTTTCTTGGATTTTTGATGGTTTATTGAATCCCATCTCATAAACTCCCTTGCGAAGTTGGACGGAACTATTTTGAGAAAAAAATACGTTCAAGAAAAATTTTATAACCTTCATATTTTATTGATACCCTTACACAGTCTCTGGGCTGATCTAAGTCAGGACACGGCTAACTTACAGATTGAACCCTGAAACAACCTCTGGGCTGATCTAAGTCAACAGTAATGATGAAAAGGTAAATTATACACCGTGAAAAGATGAAAAAACTTACTGACGTTTTGGATGCTAGTCCTTCGTCGGAGTAAAAAAGGGATCTAAGTCAGGGCTGATCTAAGTCAGGGCATGGCTAACTCACAGATTGAAACCCTGAAACAACCTCTGGACTGATCAAAGTCAGGGCATGGCTAACTCAATGATCAAACCCTGAAACAACCTATGGGCTGATCTAAGTTAGGGCATGGCTAACTCAATGATCAAACCCTGAAACAACCTCTGGGCTGATCAGAGTCAGGGCACATTAAACTCATAAATCGAATTGAAACATAGCTTGTTAGGTTTTGCAGAGGGAAGAAAACCAAAGAGCCTGGAAAAAAACCACCCCTAAATCAAGGACTAGACCAACAAACTCTACTCATATGTGATGCAGAGTCCAGAAATTAAACTGGAGTTCCCAGAGTATACCAGAGTAAGAGTTTCCAAATGCAAATTGAAAAATGTGTAGTCTATACTCACAGAGGAAGCTCCTCAAAAGATTTAACAGAGTAAAGTGGYGAGTTGGGATCATTTCTCCTAATTTCTACTTCATTCTTGTTATTGACCAACTTGTTTCTTATTAATTTACTCAACAACGAACTGTCTGCAATTTGCTTGAGCTCCTCTGGAAAAAAAAAACACACATAAATTAATATTAATATAAAATCAATAAAATACCAGGGTTTCCAGAATAAGCTGGTGGCTGCCAGAGCTCYGACATTTGCTTGGAAGTTATCAGCCAGCTACTGTTTTTTTTCTTTAAATATCCTTGTATCAAATCACAGCTAGCTACTTCAGACTTATGACCACCTACTCCAAAACATTATGAAAGCCCTGAACTATTCCAATTTAGAATTCTCTTTTGCTCAAGAAAGATTAGCTTTAATTTTGTGTAGAATATTCAAATGTTGCAGTAGGGTTTATGTAGTTTCAAAGTGTTTGTATTGCAGAAATTATGCATTCTTTACAGTTAGTATTTGTTGATAATTTGAAACTAACACAAGACTTAACCTTGAGTAAATGAGTGTTTTATCAAGGAACACAGTGATATCTGACTATCCCAAACAATGTATTATATATCACCTTTAGCACCACCATTTGCYACGTCATCTTTTTTAGCGTCAGTTCCAGTGGTAGTTTCTTGCCATCCTGAAGAATCTGTGTTTTTTTCTTGCCATCCCGATGAATCTGTGGTTGTTGCRGGTTTCTGTTCTGCAACTGGTGCAGTATTTCCAATTGCAAGTTTATTAACCTGTATTTCATTCAAATATATCTTAGATTACTGACGACAAAAGCAAAGCGATCTGTAGTTCAGTCACCTATGTCATACACCTGATTAAAAAATCGTTGTCGGGTTCAAAAAAAGTTTATATCATAAAGGCTAAGACCGAAGTGGAGCATGGGAAGACAAACAATTATGCTAATTTCATGRRTATTGCAGTTTTCCCTTCCTGTGCACATTTTATGCATCATGGCTTTGGTATGTTGTTAATCTAGGTCGACCGACTTTGCTCTACCATGCATTTTTACATGTCTATATGCAAATATAATACACATACGTCATTTTTTTGCATACAGTTATTAGATATTTTTCTTCTAGCTGTAGGTTGCACGATTTTTTTTTTAAAGGTTTAAGTGCTTGCTCAATTTTTTTTTTTGGGACTTATCAACTATCTAATGGTCCGTCCCTAATGAAGAGTCTTTTGTTAAACACCACCAAAAACCAAGATGATGAAATATGCAAAAGAAAATGCTTCTTTTATTGGCAGAAAATGAAAAAATTGAACTAAGTTGGTTTAATAGTTCCAGTGAAGAAAAGGGGAATCCAATGCTAAGGATGAGGGTCTCTGAGGAATGTAAGCTTATATCAATCCACTTCTCTCTATGCAAAACGTCCTCAGGTATAGAATCGAATACCACTCCCTGCTCCAAGAGAGAAATGAGGGCACTGACATTTCCAAGTTGAACAAAATTGTGGATTATTCTACATTCATTCCTCTTCGATTAAGATTCACTTCGTGGAAATCCAAGCTTTGTGARCCACGAAATGCTGGACTCAAAATATTCAGAAAACTTAAACAATCTGCCACAAATCAAGCTAAATTCATTCAAGCATTACTCTCTAAAKGTCTCTTAAACCTAGGATGATGTTTAACAGGTAAAAAAGTGTACTAACGATCTTTAAAAAGTAGTTTTACTGTCTGTTAAAATTTCTCAAGTCCACACACGTGCGCCGACAAGATAGACGCGTCTTTTTCTCCAAAAACTAACTCACCTGACCACTTAGTCGACTTTCTTGCTCATCAGCAGCAGCAGCCCAGTCGTCATCAGCCATTTCAAAAGAAATAAGGTGTAAAATGCGTGAAAATGTTGAAGAAAACCGGCTTTTTGAAGGATTTTCTTGACTTGGTCTGACTTTTTCCGGCGCTTGGTGTGAGACATGCGCAGTGAAGAGAGGTGAACCATGCAGTTTCACGACAGTTCACCACAGGTAGCCCAATCATTGCTTCCAGATGTATTTTTCTTGGGTGAGCCAGAGAACTATATCAAGTAAGTGTAGCACTATCAAAATTTATTTTATCAAATAGTTGAGAACTAAGGGTGGTGTAGAGGTAATGTACTTGCTTCTCAAATCTGGAAGTTTCTGGTTCAATAGAGGCTTTGTGGCTAAGTTAAGAGGGTATTTTCAATTTTCTTACCAAATCTTTTTTTCAAGCCCAGTCTCAGTGTCCAAACCTTTTTTCTTTCAACACGTTTTCCCATTCCATATTATTATTTTCCCCATAATTTCCCACTTACCTAAAGCCTATTTCCCCCAGGGCAAAAAGGCAAATGCTAGTTCCCATATTTACCCCTTCAGGACGCTCTCAGAAATCCCTGACTATCTTAGAAGTTGAATTCTTTCTCTTGTAAAATTATTCAGCATTGTTCCTGCCATCTACCATGGTTGCCATCAAATGATATAGTGTTGGTTTTCTCTATTGATTCATAGGTTTTTCTCCTCCCTCCACAAAACCTATGATTAGTTCCAAGTTGATATATGAGTTATCTGTGTCTTAACTCATTAATTATAAAGTTTAATTAAATTGGGGCTTGGTTTAATTAGTTTTGGTGAAAGYACTTGAAAATATGTAGGACTCAAGATGAATATAATTTGCATCCAAAGCAAAAATCCTTTAGCAAGCAACTTCTAAAACACTCTAATTTTCAATTACAAAATGAAAAAAAAACTTACAGACCACATTATTATAATACAAACTTATAATAAGATTAATATTAATGGTTAACATGTTACTAGTTAGTGTTATTCAGCTGTTATTCATAGCCATAATGCTGATGAATATGACACTAACAATATGCAGACCATAATTCATTATGACATAGCTTAAGTTTAATGAATGCTCTAATATCAATAGCATGTGAATCATGTGCAAGACTACATCCATTACTCTATGGACTGTATGACAACCTGATTGAAAAGCACTAATAAGATAAGGCATAGGGCAAATGTTGAACATTCCATGCACCATTACTCTATGGACTGTATAACAACCTGATTGAAAAGCACTAATAAGATAAGAGTTATAGCACTAGAGTGAAGTCATTTAACCCGTGAAATATATATTAGACTAATACACATTAGTAGATCCTAATTCCATTGTTTTCTTTTGTGTCTATTTAACTATTACACGTTGACTAATAATTTTTATTTTGCGGGTTAAATGCCTTCACTCTAATAAGATAAGAGTTAAAGCACTAAAAAGATAAGGCCTAGGGCAAACGTCGAACTTTCCATGCACCGAACTTAATTACATCAAAGAATGCTGCCTCATTATCACCTGATATCCATTGTTTTTAATGAGAGCATGGTGCATGGAAAGTTCGACGTTTTCCCTAGGCCTAAGAGTTTTTTTTTTCCAACTAACAAAGGATCTTTTTGGTTTTGCTATATCGTAAAGGAAAGAATTCATGTTTAGGATGCATCAATTGAGTCATGCATAGACCAGGAAAGTTCCTAAGCACAAAAGAAATGTAAGAGTTGCATGAGGCATAGCTGAGTGTGACTTTAGCTTCTCAATTGAAACATTTTTTCAAATATAGCAAATAGACTACTATTAATCCATTCAAAGGAATCCTCCAAAGACTTAAAGTGCCTATCACCCTTCTGACGATATTCTCAGTATTGATTCTACATGGGGTAAGATGTTGAATAACCCGAAAAAATTACATAGTTTGAGTGCAGCATCTTGAAGTTATAAAGGTTTTTCCACGCCATATGCTAATGCTGTGACGTATGAGGAGTAATCATTTAATATACAAAACACGACTGGTACAGATGAATTAAATTTGAAATACGTCATAGTTTTCCCCATTGCTCTTATAGAAATGAATGCAAGTTAGTTTTCCCATAGAAGCCGGTGTTTCGAATTACAAGGAACAACAAATAACCATAAATGCCTCCTCATACGTCACAGCATTAGCATATGATCATGACATAAAAAAAACCTTCATAACTTCAAGAAGCTGCACTCAAACTATGTAATTTTTTCGGGTTATTCAACATCTTACCCCATGTAGAATCAATATTGAGAATATTGTCAGAAGGGTGATAGGCACTTTCAATTTCTTTCTTTTCACTATGTACTCATGCTAACTGCAGTCCAGCTAACAGGTTACACAAATGAAAACAGAAATAACATATATTTTAAACACAAACAATACAATCTTATACCTCCTCACTCCTATCCCTAAAATATTAAACCGTGGTAGTTTTAATGATATAAAATTTGATTTTAAAATGTATAGTGTGCATTCAGTCAAACTGTTGAATAGTTGACGTCACCTAAATTAGATAAGTTAGTTACTATTTTAGCTGACCTCACATAAACTTGAAACTTTGAGTAAACAGCTACTGAGATCAGGGGGAGAAACGATGATACGAATGAATGTCTATTCACTCATTCTCTGGTAAAATAAACCCCCGGATTGGCATGACCGTTATTTGGTGTGCTTTTACTATTTTAGGTGACGTCAACTAAATAGTTATCTAAGTTAGATACATTTATCTAACTATTCAACAGTTTGACTGAATGCACTCTAGATTATCATTAACAATACAAATTTTTAGCTTGCTGATTGGTCTATTTTTATCATCAATAAGAGGAAACACAAATAAGCTGACGTCAACGAGCATGTGCTCTTTCCTTTGGCTTGATCACGAAGATGTTTTTATTGTTGTTATTGTTATTGTAAAATACAAATTGACATCAGTTTTTATTGGTCTGTCTTATTATTGACGATAAAGTATGTCATCGCATTGTCAAAGTAGTACACCTCACGGATCCACACTACTACAGACACTGATTTCACTTCGTTAAAACGACAATGGGAATCAAGTTAATTAGAGGTATCATTCTTAGGCATTTTACTTTGCTTATATTTTAGTAAAGAGCCTGCCAAGCTTCTTGGGTGTGCAGGAATCATATGTTTATCAAAGAGTTCTTTTGCTCCTTGTGCCATTCCTTGATCAGTTGGTTCTGGTGTGCAATAGTATTTCTTCGGATGTTCCTTATATTTTGGCTTGATTTCTTCAGGTCCGTTCTTGACCCTATTGATTATGACCCTTCTATGTATGAATACAGCTGTATAACAACTGTCAATGTCCTTATGGGGTCCATATAGGTCACTTTCTTTTATATAATAAATATCTGAAATATCTGTGCGCGTTTTTAGACAATCCGACCAATAGCATCCTGGAAGTCGTACAAAACTAGTGTATTTTTCAAACACCTTGCATTCATTTTCTTCCATATTATGACCCAGATAAATAGATCCACCAGGTTTAATAATTCTTAATAATTCCCCAACCAATGTGCACTGAGCTTCTTTAGACATCTCTCTTAATCCTGCATAATTAATAGCATGGTCATACATGATAGAAGGTGCATTAGCTTGTAGTTTGCCTGTATACTTATCAACGATAACAAACGTATCTGCCGTATCGTTAAAGAGTCTTTTAGCATATTCTACAGCGTATGGATCAGTGTGCCCTCCACCGATCTTTAGACGTGGGAATTTCTTTCTCAAAGCAATAATCCAATCATTGCAACCAGTGTTGCTATCGAAGACAGCTTGGCCATCTTTGATGTTCAGCTGCTCACTGATGACTTGAACCCAGCTATCATCGACATGGGTCTCATTTTTGAACTTTCTTCTGCAATGGATGTCTTCCCAGTTGTGATCGAAGACAGCTTTTTGAAACCAATGGTGGAACTTATGCTTGACGCCATTAAAGAAGTGAGTAGTTGAAGCGTGGAAGGTGAAGTGACTCAAAACGAAAAGACAAGCGACTATAACAATGGTCGAAAGGATGCAAGTCAGCCTTCCAATGCGAACATTAGTTATAATTCTCATTGTATTTGGTTTTAAATCAATTAATTTAATGTAGAATGCCTTACTCATTTCTCTTTGCTGTTTTCAATGGATTGAATCGAGCGATTGAATCATCAATAAATACTCGTTTACGCGTCGTTTCGTTCGCGACGGCTCACGACGTATTTCGGTCACCTGTCGGGAATTTTCGGTCGGTCCCTTCTCCCAAGTGACAGTTCTTGCCTGAAGAACGAAAGAAGAAAGAAAGGAAGAAAAAAAAAAAAAGAAAAGAAAAGAAAATTGGTATCCATATCACTTTACTTCGTGCAAAATGACATGGATTCTTACCACTATGAGCAGCAAGGGTCAAAATACTGCCCGCTGGGGTGACGCTTTGTCCTTACGGAATGATCGATCTTATCGATATCCACTTTTGGAATGCGGGCGGAAAGCATGAGGGCGCCACAGGGCTCATCTTACTTCAAATTCCAACGTTTAATATTAGCTAGCATACAGAGAAGCTGCAATAATATGGAGCATATAGCTCATAGGAGCATGTGCTAACTCTATTTCCGTTCTAATTTTGTTAGTAAATTTCTTAGGATATTTATCGGACGAATTCGCGCTAAACGTAGCGTGCGCTATTCATAAATATGGCTGAAGCTTCTCAAGGAACATGGGCACAAGATAGAAACGTTTCAAGAAAGAATTTGCGCCATGAAAAACGCTTGAAAAAGCAGCTCGACGTCTTAGAGAAGGAAAGAAATTGGAAGAGCAAGTCTTTAGAAGCTGATAAAAGATGCTTTGAGGARAAGGTGCACAGATTGAATATGAGCCCAACTGATCGCGCACATTTGGCCAAAGACACGAAAGACATGGTGGCTGGTGACAAGAAAAAAGAATTGGATCGTCTGCTGAAAAGTTTACTGCACAGACCTTACGAAACTAGGGCCGGGTATTCGTACATCGAATATCTGTCAAGAAACATGCAGCCGTTAGTGAAGAGGCCTCTTCAATGGGGTGTTAATCCACCTTTATCACCAAGGACGCAGTTTATATCTGTTGATGCGTGCCAGCCAAAAACAGACCGGAAGCCAAACGAGTTTTTGACAAGAATCGAAGGGCAAACTGTGGCTCTAAATCAACGAGTCACCGTTCCAATTAAAAGAAAAGAAAGATTCAAACCTGAACAAGTAGTTTTACCTCCAATATCAGCTAAACCAAAATCACAAGTTACTAGTAAATACTCAGAAATCATTTCCGAGACAAAGACATCTTCTTTGCGTGATGAGAAGGTTAAAGAAAAGGTTTTGAAGCTTGAAAATCAAACAAAGATGAGAAAGAAATCTAGACAAATGGATAACAAAAATACAAACACACAAGAAAAAGTTTCAAATGAACCAGTTAAAAATCTACCCTCGTCATCTCTTGAGTCAAAAGAAATGGAAAATACAGAAACTGTGCCGAAAGAGGATGTTTTTGTGACGATGGTTAGACTAGATGTACCAACGCCAAACTATTATCATTTAGAGGCGCCAATGATAAAAGACGATGTACCGTGTGATGAACAAAGCGATGGAACAAGTACGCCTGAATTAGAGAGCCGCAGCCAAGGATATTATACTGTTACTATCGGTCCACGAGATAGCAGGAGAAAATCTATATAGAAATTACAAAGAATGGTCTTTAACAAACAGATTTCGTGACTCTTTAATGGGGGTAATTTAACTAGAATCTGTGCGTTCGGTCAGAGTTATGTAACAGCGCTTAAAATGTAACATTAAAGTGGCCTTCCGTTGTATTTTACTTGACAGGAAGCCATTTTGATGTTACAGCCTTCTGCTGTGTAGAATTAGTTACATTATAATTTCGAAAAAAATTGAAGATCAAAAGAATGATATATAATTGAATTTTCAAAAAAGATTTTTATTTTTGCACTATTCTTACACTACACAATTTTAGTTCAGAAAAACAAACTTTCACTTTACAGAAAGTCTGTTATAGTTGCCCATGAACAAAGTCCACCCATCCCCTCCCTTGCTAGTTTCCCTAGCACAGGAGGGGTGAGTAGGAATTGTACACATGATGTTTTAGAGATGTACATAAATAATCAACACAAATATTTATCCTTCATAAAAGGTGGGTAAATTGTCACCTAAGATAACCCTCCTTTCGACACCTGAAGAGTCAATTGCCGCCATGCGAATGATGCCTCCAGATGATCCATCACGTGACATTGCCAAGGCAACAGCTGTCAAATAGAGGTATATAAGATAAATACTGTAGTTTTGTAATATGAATATAACTGGGTCGTAACATACGACATAATATGTTGATTATATTATAATCAACATTTTTTTTCTATGAATGTAAAATAATTAGATCTTCAAATTTTTTTCTCTCTCTTGTAAATATTATTGTGTACAAATTATATTCAACAAAGTGCAAATAAAAATATCTATCATATTATCATATTATATTATGATCACAGGGATTAGTTTTGAGCTCTCACCAGTGGATACAAAGTTAAAGCACTCGTCTTTCGTCATTCCTTTCTTGTATGTTGCATCACAGTGTCCATATATGTAAGTGCTACCAGAGCCTAAAGAAATCCCAAAATGTTTGTCATGTAAATAAGAGAAATGCAAAAACGAAACTTAATATTAGGAGAGGGAGGACAACTGGAAAAGCAGTTAAACAACCAAGCAATTATAGTCCAGAAACATTTAAAATGTTTTGGTTTGGGCATAATGTTTTTCCAACATTCCCTAGAGTATCATTTCCACGTGTCACTCTCTTGAGAATAAGATTCTTTGTTTGAGTTGTATCCATATTTATGTATCTTCACATGCAGGATCATCAAACAAAGAATATTGGTACTCTAGTGAATGACCTATGGTATGAAATGGAAAACAATATGCACAAGTAAATAAGGTCTATTTAAATTTTAAATCTATCTTGAAATCCCTCAATCTGATACTCAAAAAGAATTCAAATTATAGAAGTACTTCTAACCTCCAATAGTGAATGGTTGACGGATGCACATTCCACCAAGAGGTATGGAGAATACCTATCAATAAAGATGTGGATATTTTCATATTGATATGCAGTAAAATAATTGAAAGCATGTTATGCTTAAACGTTGTTCTTTATAAAAAATACAGTCAATTCAAAAAACGTTGTTGTTGACCGACTCAAGCCTATGTGACTGGACCGAAAGCGAATATAGGTAAAAATCACTGAAGCGGTTAAATATTCGTTTTGAATTAATTGTCCCACTAGTAGTAAAGATAATAATGGCGAGAAACAATCCATTAGATGCATGTCTTTTGTTAGTTATGATTCAGTTCATGATTTCGAAAATATGAAGGCATTAAGAAAACGTCTTCTTCAACACTTCCTGCTCGCCTATGAAGGTTTTTGCTGTCAACCAGGCATAACTAGTCAAATAAAATTACTGCAGTCAACTCGGCTTCAATAATTGCTACCCAGAGTTCCTTTTGGTTCAGTCGCTTAGGCTTGAGATGGTCAACGACAACGCTTCTTGAATTGACTGTATACAAAATTTCTCCCAGAGCAGACTATGGTTGCACATAGCTGAAAATTGATGACATTTTACATGTATATGTGTAAATAAGAGATAGTTATGATAAGATTGTAAGAAGAATGAATTTTCACTAACCTGACCACCATTTCTTTTGTCCCAGCCTGCACAGATGATGCCAGCACTCAGCTGATCTCTGTATCCATAGCACATTTCTCTGAATAGATTAGCTGCTGTTTTTACTTCAATAGGCTCACCTATCTCAATGCTGTGAATAAATATCAGTCAGTCAGTCAGTCAGTCAGTCAGTCAGTCAGTCAGTCAGTCAGTCAGTCTGTCAGTCTGTCAGTACAATACTTACTTATGAAAGTTTAAGTGATATTTAACAATATCAGCTATAGCTTGTGTGTCAGCAGCAGAACCAGATCGGCAACAGAATATATTTTCTGTTATTGGGGTGAGCTTGTCAGTCACTCGATTTGCAATATATGCCCTGCAGTGATCGGGAAAGATATAAGAAACAAAAAAACTTATTAATTATTTTAAATTTTACTGATGTCCTGAAACAGCCTCTGGGCTGATCTAATTCAGGGCACAACTAACTTGCAGATCAGATCCTATAAAGACCTCTGGACTGAACTAAATCATGACATGCCTAACTCTTCAAACATTGAACCCTAAAACAACCTCTTATTTTTCAACTAATTTTAAGACTGGGGAGTTGCAAAGTGTCATTGAACTTTTGGATAGTGATAAAAGATCATATTTATTATTATTAATCTAAGTCAAGACACAGCTGACCCACAGATCAAATTGAATCTAGAGTGATCTAGAGTGTTTGGTGGAAGAAAATTGCAACCCTCAAATTTAGGGAGAGACATGATATATTCTAATCACGTGTTATGCCAAGTGCACAAATTGAGCCTAAGACCCCAGACGTGAGGAGCAAGTGCACCAACACAATGCTATTCTTGGTTTATAAATTAACAGGAGCATGAACCTACTGCCTTACATTCATTCCCTTCCCCCCCCCCTCCCCCCATGCTTTCCTCTAGATTTAACATATTCAACATATTCTTCATGAGAAAATTCCTTATTTTTAAGTCCTAGGATCGTACTCCAAATTTATCAAATATAAAAGTGAAGTCTCTTAATTAATAGGTAAGTAAGCCAAGCAAGGCACATTTTGATTTCGATTCAAAAAAAGTATCAAAAAAGTATTTAAAATTTTTCAAAAAGGATAAGCAAATTAATAATCTTAATAAATGATATTGTCAGAATGACTACCATAACCACTTAAACATATAAAAAATATTTTTGCGATCCAGAAAAAGTGTGGATAAGACTGAAAATACAAGAGAAAAAAAAATTCTTACCCGGTAGTTGTGCGTGAGTCAGCACCTATGACCACTCCGCCATCAAACTCGACCGCCATTACAGTCGTCTAAAAGGTCAAAAACAACCAAAATCTCAACAAAATAACAGCACCAATACATTCAATGAGTAATCTATCTACTTACTCCGGTTAAATGCTCTGCTGAGACCCATTCTGGAGCGGTAGAAGAGGCTTTCATTGTCATTCGGTTTTGAAGAAGAGCCGCCATGTTGAATTTTGACAATAAAGTAAAAAACACGAGGGATCCTGGTAACTATTGTTGGGGTGCCTGTGTTTTTTTAATAGTTGTGACGTCAGACGGAGGTCATATCAAAATAAACACAGGGAGCCCGACTTTGCCGGTCAAGGATTTCAAAGCACCAAATGCCCGACAGTTCCATTTATTTAAAAAAATCCGACAAGGGGTTAACACATACCACCAACATATGGTGGCCCACATATCGTGGCCACACACGCATCTGGTGGCCCTTTGGCCACAACGCTCTCATAACGCCCTAAATCAAATCTGACACGAGAAATCTGACACTACCTTCACTTTGGCCTTTTCGATTAGGGTTATGTGCAAGCGAGTTTTTGTTACAATTAGTATGAAATCGTGTGATGGAATGATTATATGTTAATCAGCTCATTCCTTTGAAATTTAGACTCCCATTTTAACCTCGATTGTGCTATCTAACTCGGTACTGGCCGTGTACGATCGTTCTCTTTTTGTTTTAGCATGTGATCTGGCATGGAAACGAGTTTGGAAATTTGAAGAAACGTCTTTTTTAATATCCTGCTTGATAAAGATGAAAAGAAATTGCAAAATAAGTGGAATAAATTCACACATTCTTGCCAAGTACCAATAACAGTTTCCTTCTCATAAAAGCCATATTTTTTATTAATCTCTATGAATAACTGCGTCAAAGCAATTGTTGGAGTTATGTCAGACTTTGAACATTRATTTGAATTTGAAATACCAAAGAAAATTTTTTCTCGATTCCTACACTCCACCTAAGAAAAGTCCGATCCAAGGGGTTAATCCAGGTTGTGATTTTCCACAATTTTGGATTTTAAGGTAAAAACTACCAAATTCTAAAAGAGCAAGCTTAATAGGAATCAATGGTGTAATTTATTTTGGTTTTGTCGTACAAAACATGTTTTTATGAGCATCAAAAATATGAACTCTCAAGCGAAGTGTTCGCCTTTATAGAACACACCTTCCCCACCAAGAATTTTTGCATTTGAATTTTTGCGGGCAGCCAAAAGCTGTCGCTAACTATAGCAGATTAAAAGATTGTCCTCCCTCCACAAAATTGCACATAGGATTTTAAAATCGAACGCCATCTCTCTTTTCGGCTGCGCTGTGACATTGATCTGCACGCGGTATCATTGAAATCCTAAGGACTATCCGAGCACGATTTGTATATATATTATGGATAATCCCAATATTTTGTTACCCCCTTTCTTTGCTGCGCTCTCGTAGAATCTCAAGGTTCCTGTTAAGGCAGGCTACAGACTGCCGTTAAGATCACATTTAAGATCAATGGCATGGCAACAAGTATGTGCCTAGTAGTCCGAGTACTCCGGACTGCAAGAATTTTTCAGCTTGTTTGAGCGAACAGAAAATGATGCCGCCAGGACTGGTCAGACAGGATCTACTATTTATTACTTTTTCATGCTAGAAGTGGTAGAAAGTGATATAAAATTGGTTTCCAAACAATTTCAAAGTAAAGGCAAAACATATGCGTGGAAGACTACATCACGGGCGGAAATGGACCTCCTAAAATACAATAAATGTATGTAATTTGGGCTGTGAGGGGGCCGTGAGAGGCACTCTACGCCCGGGATATAGTCTTTTTCTTAAAACACGCCATTCAATCACAGGACAAGCCTGTTATTCTTTATCCTTCCATTTTGTATTATCATGAAGCAATCGTACATGAAACTGTGGTCAGGACCCGTCAGGACACCGTTACTAATATGGTCAAGCATACCCTTAAATATGATTATTTCAAAAAGGGATATACTCTTGATTACGGTCATTTGTAAAAAGGATACTTATAAATATGGTCAATAGAAAAAAGGATACTCTTAAATACGGTAATTTGAAAAAAGAATACTCTTCAAAATATGGTCATTTGAAAAAGGATACTCTGAAATATGGTCAAGGACACTCTTAAATACGGTCACCAGTGGAAAATAGATTACTCTACAATATGGTCATTGGCAAAAAGAGATACTCTTAAATACTGTAAATTGAAAAAAGGACACTTTTAAATACGGTCATTGGTCAGTTTTGATGTGATTTCCGCCCAGTACCCGACTAAATCGAATTAATATTGTAAGCGATTGAAAGTTGCAGGGAAAAAATCTTGCTAAAAAACTAAGTAGGCCTAAGTTTCAAGTCACCCATCCAAATAATAATTTGGCTAAACCGGACTTGACTCAGTATCACTAAAGCCCAAGTTTTCCCCACTGGACCACGGTTTTAGGTGAATCAGCATAACAATAGCCGTGAAAACAATGCACCAAATAGACTAGACTTTTTAACATAACATTTTCTACCGATTCCGTGCGTGGCAGAGATGCAAGGGATTAGCCGATATGGTCTGGGGGCCGGCTGGTCTCTCCCCTGATGCTTCGGCTAGAACATTTTCTTGCG